TTTCAGGCCTCCAGGCAGCGAGTAGGAGACCAAAATGGTTCTGCCGCTCTCAACTACCTCCGCTGACGATCCGGCCGCTCGCTGCGGGCTGGGGAGGCGGCTGCCGCTGCTGCGAACAGATGCGGCGACAACCTGCTAGCTTACACCTGGACGCGCGGCCCTAACCTCGCGCGCCGCGCGCTGAAACATTCATGACTCGGAGGATTTGCAGCCACAATCAAAGCCTGGGCCGGGCTTGTGCGCAGCGCGCGGACCCCGCCACCTCCACAGGAGCTGGCGGCGCGCAAGGGGAGCGGGGGCCAGGGACGGAGCCGGGGATTTCTCGCGCCGCTTTGATACTCGATGCCTGAACTTCAATTACTTGATCAAGGACTTCGATTGAGCAGTGAATTCTTCTGCAAATGAGCCCGGTGCGGCCTCTGAGCCATAAAAGGAGAGCATTTGGCTTGAAATTCAGCGTGCCGGGACTAGCAGAGGAAATGTGCTTGACTCCCGGTTTAGTTCTACGTACGCTGATTTGTTTATTAAACTAAACCCTCAAGAGGCAGAATCTGCAGTAAACAATTTATAAATAAATGACAAGATTGTTTTCCTAGGTAGAAAACGTGCTGTTGACTAGGCATTGGTTCTGTTATTTTGGAACCATCAGCCACAACCTGAAAACAATTGTTTTATTGTCTCTCAAGCAGCACTAAGTTTGTTTTGCCTTATTTTTTTAAGAAAATGACTATTACTCCTTTAAGATCCACAAAGGACAAAACATTCTTGCAACATTCAGCTGTCCTAAGAATGTACAGAATGGTAACTCTGCTAACATATTGGAATGTTTTTTGCTGTGTAATTCTATAATCTCTGAAAAAATACAGGTTATAGTTATGTATGTATGTGGGATGAGAAGTTTATATTGGAATTAATTATATCAAAGAATACCTGGTTGATGATGCAAAGTTGACAGAAACTCAGATATTCTTAATAATCTTTGCAAAACATGGAAAATGGGAGATGGGAAATAAAAAGAAGGGAAGGCAAAGAGTTCCCAAATTGTCTAAAGGAAAAAGGTTATATGCTGATAACTATAATAGACTTTACATCAATCCCCAGTCTAAAAAATAATAAATACTATAAAGTTTCACTAGCAAGAAACAGAAACAAAAGGGCAAATCATACCACCTTACCTAATTTACATGATTAATTCTGCATCATTGGTTTGGTTAGATGAGGAAATATACTATGCATTATGCCATAAATTCAGCAAATAATTTAACAAAATTCATTAAATATCCTTTTGAATATGATAGTAAATTGAGCGGTGCCTGGGTGGCTCAGTCGGTTAAGCGTCCAACTCTTGATTTCAGCTCAGGTCATGATCTCAGGGCTGCGAGATTAAGACCTACGTTGGGCTCTGTGCTGGGCATGGACCCTGCTTAAGATTCTCTCCCTCTCTGTATGCCCCTCCCCCACCAAAAAAAATCATTAAAAAAAAAAAGATGGCAAACTAAGATTGTACTACTGGGTGGGTTCCTAGCTTTACCATACTAATGTCAATTAACTGGATTATCAGCCTGTGGAGAAAGCTTTCATGGAGTGCCACATTGAGGCTTTAACAGTGGTTTGAAATAAGTAACAAACACTTGCAGGTGACAAAATGCTGGAAGCAGTAAAGCTATACAAGAATAAGCATTATGAAAAAAAGACGAAGTCATACTGTGTCAGATACACATACAATCATAATATATATTTGATGGAGCATACATAGGTTTATGGTGGAAAAACTGGAGACTTAATCACACACAGTAAAGATCTACTATCTTTTATGTACAACTTTGAAATAAAAAATCTTTGAAAACTCTTAAGTTTTCTGCTGAGTTTGTCACCAAAATTTATTTGGAAGCAAACCCTGACTTGAACTTGAGACTATTAATAGTCTATGTCTACTTGCAGTTACTAATATTTCTGTAGCAAAATGTCTAAATAATGTAATCAGAAGGTGCTGCATTACATAAATATATGAAGTATGGACTATATCAGATTCCTAAAATGTGAAAAATTCTGAATTTTGAAACAATTTGAACTTAAGAGTTAGAATAAAAGTCTTTGGGGCTATAATAGACAAAAGAATGGCCAAATTACCAGAACAAAAGAAATCATGGTCAAAATAATGAAAAGATTACTCTTAAACCATGGAAAAACAAATGATTTAACCTGCTAGGACATGTACAGTATTCTAACACTATAATTTTTTTCTTTTTCTTTTTCTTTTTTTAAGTAGGCTTTAGCCTGGAGCCCAACACAGGGCTCCAATATAAACTTCTCATCCCACATACATACATAACTATAACCTGTATTTTTTCAAACTCATGACCCTGAGATCAAGACCTGAGACCAAGAGCCTGAGGCTTAATGGACTGAGCCATCCAGGCACCCTTCTAGCACTATAATTTTTTAAAAATATTAAATTTATTTAGTATCTAACAAAATGCTTGGTACACGTTAGGCACTAGATAAACATTTGTTGAATGAATGAATGAGTGTAATTCATCATTTAAAAAACCAAATATATCAATTTATCCAATCTTAAAGATTTCTTCTTTTCTATTACCAACCTATCATTCTGGTTTCAATCCCCAACCCCCAGATTATCTAGCAATCCACAAATCATTGTATTCTTGGCTGCCTCAGAGACTTTGCTCTTGATGCTTCCTCCATGGAAAAGTTCAGTCCACCTAACTCCACCTGTTGAAATTCTACTCATATTTAAAGATAGAAGGCCTATATTTTTGAAGAAGCATTTCCAAGTTCCTCCAGAGAGAGTTAACCTCTCTTCTTCTGTGCACTCAAGAGTACTTGATACCTACTTATATTATGGCTCAAGATCACCTTCTGGAATAAATATTACTTTCCTGTATGTCTTGTTTCCCAGACAAGTTTTAGGTTTCTTAAGGGCAAAGACTACAGTCTGCACTTACCCCTCAGTATTACCTGATGTCATTACTTATGCACATTTATAATCCAAAAATTACTGAATTAAATCAGAATTAGTAGGAACGATGAAAGACAAAACTAAATTTTAATCATGAGAGTTAAAAGAATATATCCTGTATTGGCAAGAGTGCTAGAACCACTGTCTGCCTTTGCCAGCTAATACATCTTTAGTGCTGGCACAAAACTCAACACTTATAAAGGTGAAAATTATTGAACAAATGAACTAATGTCGAATCTGGGAGAGAGAAAACTAAGGTGATGCACAAAAACAATTTTAAAACACATAAAGTGAAAGCCTAGCATATTAAAGAGTAAAGAGAGTTGTTATATGTTGGTCCAGAAGCAGAACTTCAGATCATGAATTTAAACAGAGGCACAAATTTCAATAAACTTTCTATTAACCAGAGTGGTCTGGTAATGAAAGAGGCTCCTTCATACAACACCTGGTTATCTCTACCTATTGTCCAAGCAAAGGGTAAATGATCTCTTGGGAGAATTCTCAAACTGGATTTCCTAAATGGCTGAACTCAGATGTTTTGAAAATGACCCTCATTTCATAGAAGTAAAATTTTAAAGATTTAGATGTTTTTGTTTTATATATATAAATATATAACACTGAACATAGTTTGGCACTGTAAAATATTCATTTCATTGATCATTTCATCCTTTAAAAAACAGCCTGTTAAACTTGAATGAACCTAAAGTCCTCTGAAGTTGAAGTGAATAAAGTTGACTCACTTCAGATTTGGTGATCAGGATGATGATTATGTTGACACACAATGAAATGATCCTGTTATTAATACTAACAGTGTTGTGTCTGAACCAAACCTGTCCATTGTTACAAATGGAAATGTTTTCAACAATTTTTCTTACATTGATACTATAGAAAATAGTGCTAACATATTAAAGAAATCATAACACCGGAGGAATTCTAGCCAAATTTCCATAAACAAAAGACATCAAATAGGCTTCCTCAGTAGGGAAAACGTATACATATATACGTGTGTGTGTGTGTACGTATTTTTTTTAATGTGAGTGTGTGTGTGTCTCACCATCACAGATTTCTATAATGCGTTATAGTCCCCCCTTATCCACAGGCGATATGTTCCAAGAGCCCCAATGGCTGCATGAAACCACAGACAGTACCAAAACCTATATATACTGTGTTTTTCCCTATACATACATACCTATGATAAAGTTTACTTTATAAATTAAATGCAGTGAGAGAGATTAGCAAAAACGCCTAATAATAAAATAGAAAAATTACAGTGATATACTGTAATAAAACTTATGTAAATGTGGTCTCTCTCTCAAAAATACTATTGTCCTATACCTACCCTTCTTCTTGTGATGATGTAAGATGATAAAATGTCTGTGTGATGAGAGGAAGTGAGATGAATGACGTAGGCATTGTGACGTAGCATTAGGCTACTACTGACCTTCTGCACATGTGTCAGAGGAGGGTTATCTGCTTCTGGACCACAGTTGACTATGGGTAACTGAAACTGTGGATAAGGGAGGACTACCGAAAGACACTTTGATATATTTAAGAAATTGGTTTGCATCAACTGTTGAAGGCACAGAAATATATATTTATACCTGAAGAAACGGAGGCTCTGCATGGTTCCTGGGACTTACTGCCAGTAAATGGTAGAGAAAGGCTCCAACTACTAATCCCCAGTCTGTCCTTCCCACTTGGCAAAACCTCAGAATGTGATGTCGTCCAAGTCAAAGGCCGAAGCAGTGAGTGTGCATATTAAAGTATGCATACGAAAGACCATAATTTGTATGTATTCCTTGACAAGAGACTCATGTTAAACCATGACTTGAAGATGTATTCTAACAACAGGGGATAATTTATGAAGCGCCCCATGTAATAGGATCTTTCACAAGACAACAATTCCTTCCTTCCCCAAGTGTAGGGAGGGCTTTAAAAATTCTTTCGATTATTATTTCACTACCTGCATCATGTTGATCCAAGCCCTCAGCTCTGTGCCAGCACACCTCCACATACAAACCTCATCGCCTTCCTGAGGCCGCATCAAGGAAACACGGTCGTACTGCCGCCGCAACAGAGCCCAGAGCGCATCAAGACGACCCTAAAGGGAAACATGATTTGTAAATTCCTAGGCAACGTTTTCGACCTCTATCCACTAAATAAATAAAGAGTTAAAACGGAGATGGTAAAGTCTGATTCCCTCCTACCATTTCTTTCCTAAACTAAGCAAACAAATAAATAACAAAAACGAAGGTTCTTGCCGCAGAGTAAGAGTTCGTTGCTAGGATGGCTAATGAATGAGTGCTGCTGGGTGCACCGTGGTCCGCCTGCAGGCAGCTAAAGAAGTCATCATTTCTCCAGTTACAGTTTCTCAGTTAAATCACAGAAAATTGAAACAAGTACCTTAATTGGTGTGTACCACTTTGTCTGAGGAGGCTGGTATGTGGGTTTGGGCCGAGGTGGTCTCGGCCTGACAGGTTCCTCAACTTCTTCAGGAATCTTCACCACAGCATTTTTGGCTTTCTCTAGCCTCGCACCTTCCTCAGTAGATCCTTTATCACCCCAACGAACCTTTAAGACAAAGGGAAAATACTTGTGTCAGACATCGAGTGTCCTAGAAGAACTGCTCTTATTCAGCAGGTGGTCCTTTGGTTCACCATCATGGAGTGAAGAGATGCATAATATACTAACTCTAAATTCCTCCTCTTCTGAGATTTAATTAGGTATGTTCCCCTTCTAGCTAAATACATAGCCATACTGATGGCAGTGGGGGGAATGGATGATGAGGGGGATGATTACTATGTGCCAATTGCATTTAATCCATACCAAAAAAATGCAATGAGATAGATACTATAGATACTCTAGTTTTTTCCTTCCAGATGAGGAAACCGCGGCACGGAAAGGTTGAGTGATGTGCCCAAAGCCACACAGCTAGGAGGTGACAGGGCAGGGATTTGAACCTGAAATAAGTTAGTAACTTTCAAAGAGGCTTGAATTTTACAAATGTATTTTTACATGTGTTCTACAAGTGTATTTTATACAAAGGAGTAAATTGTTCCTTCCAAACTTTTCATCCAGTTTGCCTAAGTCAAAAAGTATGATTTAAACATTTAGCCTTTGGGAGTAAAATCAGTATAATATATGATTTTTCTTTACTTTTGTAAAACTCGACTTTGTAAAGTAGCTTTCAGTCTTTAGTTTGATGTTCATCTGAGTATGGTTATTCGACATATCAGGTTTTCGTTGAGTAAGGCAAATCTGAAAAGGCTCTGCTGTGAGAAGAAATATTCAGGGACACTGAAGAACTCCACAAATTTTAAGGTATTTCCTTCTCTGAAAACTCTGGACAGTGAAAAACTAGAGAGTCAAATTATCATTTTCTTTATTCTTCAGTGAACAGGAATTAAGAGCTAAATCTGAGCTAAGCTTTATCTCCTTATGCACATGGTATTGGAGGCGACCCCTGGACAAAGACTTTGTCCAGCCAGGAGCATGGAGAAGTCCTACAAAAGCCGAGGACATTAACAAAGATGACAAAGATAAGGTAAGAGAAGCTCTGCAAAGAAATACGAAGGCCTGTCCAGAATACACTGACTCACCAGAATTAAATGATTTCCACAAAGGAAAAAAATAAATAAATATTTTGTAAAAAGCATTTTAATGACCTGAGTTAGTGGGTGGGGATACAGATGATTACTATTCACAAAAAGAACTACTCAAGGCTTTTTGATAAGACTTACTTAGATGTTTTTACCTTTTTACTACAATTTTAGAATAGGCTTTCAATCTCAAGTGGACCCTGTTGAGTCATTAAAATGTATCTGTATCTTTCAGTGTGAACAGTGGTACTAGAATGTTCTTTATGAGGTTGTTAAAATTGTTTTAAACACCATTATACCTTTAGAGCTAGCTAGTTGGCTTTCTTTCCAGAGAAATGACCTTCTCTTTCAAATCAGAGTCTCTTTATCTAGATAAACTAAAACTTATGGAATCTTTAGATATAGCTAAACTGAGCTAAAAAACTAGCTAAAAAACTCTAAAACCAGGATATATCCTGGCAGTTGTGACGTCTCAATTTTAAGGGAAAAAAACAAAGATACACAGTTAACTAAACAAATAAATGTCGTAACTCAGAAAAGTAATTCAGAATAAAAATGTAAGTAGATAAATGTTACATCTATTCAGAAATTACGGATTTAAGATATACAGCTCCCCAGCCTAGCCTTCACAGTTGGCATCGTTAGAGGTAAGGGTAATCATATTCTTCCTCCAAGAATCACTGACACCATTCTCAGATAAAGAACACGAAGGTGGCTGAACTGGAGTTCTTTTCTTTCTTTCTTTTTCTTTCTTTCTTTCTTTTTTTTTTTAAAGATTTTTATTTGCTTATTTGAAAGAGAAAGAGAGCACAAGCAGAGGGAGGGCAGAGGGAGAAGCAGACTTCTCGCTGAGCAGGAAGCCTGACACAGGGCTCGATCCCAGGACTCTGAGATCATGACCTGAGCTGAAGTCAGATGCTTAACCAACTGAGCCACCCAGGCGCCTCTGACCTGGAGTTCTGACTCAGTGTATTTCTAGAGACTCACCTCTTAACAGCCTAGACTCTGAAGTACAGTTGCTGAGGTCTAAAGGAAATTCATTAATTAAATCCTTAGTGTTAGTTCATGAAGTAGCTGGTCCATCATCCTTATCACCATCATCACAAACAACACAATAAATAATTCTCACTCAATCTCAAAGTCTAAAATTAGGAAATATTTCATGGATTTTTCCTAAAACTCTCAAAAGCAATTATAGACATACCTCAGAGATACTGCAGGTTTGGTTCCAGACCACGACAATAAAGCAAATAGCATAATAAATGAGGCAAATGAATGTTTTGGTTTCCCAGTGCATATAAATGTTACTAATACTGTAGTCTATTAAGTGTGCAATAGCGTTAGGTCTAAAAAAACAATGTACATACCTTAATTAAAAAATACTTTACTGCTAAAAATTTCTAAGTGTCATCTGAGCTTTTAGCAAGTGGTAATCACTGATCACAGACCATCATAACAAATACAACAATAGTGAAAAAGTTTGAAATATTGCAAGAATTACCAAGACATGACACAAAGACACAAAGTGAGCAAATACTGTTGGAAAAATGACGCTGATAGACTTGCTCAATGCAGAGTTGCCACAAACCTTCAATTTGTAAAAAACACAGTATCTGTGAAGCACAATAAAGCAGAGCGCAATAAAACAAGGTATGCCTGTAAATATATATACATTTATATGTATACCTTTTAATATTTTAGTTCAACCGCATTGAGATAGTCAAAAAAGATTTTAAAAAAACAAGAATAAATTGCTAAAGGGAGCTTTAGCAGAATTAATATACCTGGCTTTTTTACTATGGAGAAAAGAAACAAGGGCAAGCTTGATAGCTAAATTCTTCCAACTCTACTTGGCTTTCATAATAAACAATAAAATTCCATCATTTCCAGAGTATATTTGGATGACTAGGAGGTTGTATCATAAAGGAGCAATTTCAGAATTGAGAAAGAAACAAAAAAACAGTTTCACGCTGAATTGGCAGAAACACACATTTGAAGTCATTAGGTATTGTGGATCAGTTGTGCTAACATCTGTTATTAACATCAGCTCAGCTCTAGCTTTCTGCAAATTGCCATTACCATAGCATTTAAATATTTAATTTAAAGGAGGAGTAAGAAAAAAAAAATCTACGTAAAATCCCTATCCTGGCTTAAAATAACATTAGTTACAAAGATTTGTTCTATAATTCAGATGTGCACATAATTTCTATAATTCCATTTATTTTTCCCAGGTAAAGGTATTTTTTTAAGGGAAATACTTTCCAGGTTTAAATAGGCATGGTTTAAAAATAGATTATGTTTTCTATTTTCCCTAAGTTTAAATAAGATCAGATTTGAGAGAGCTTAATGATGCTTAATTCTCGATTCAATTGTTATTGTGTATATTTAAGTACTGTCTCCCCTTTGTAACGTTCACATTTACTTTCTCATCCCCATTCCACCTCATTGATGGAATACCACATGCAACATAGCTAAAATTGTCCAAAGCTAAAATGCACCCCAATTTATTAAAAGCAGATGAGTCCTTTTCATAAATTTCCTTAAACTGAAAAGGACTGGCAATGTTATTTCACATATTAAGAATTAGTAACTCTTGAAACTTGAAATATAAGTTACTCATGAATGTGCGTGACCTATGGCTTTCTTGACCATAAACCAATATTATTCCTTTTACCTTAGGACCACCTCAGGTGTTCATGGGTATGCTTTTCTTTAGAAAGAGATCTCAATCTTCGATGCACTGGAATATTGGACTAACAAAAATCTGGCATAACTCCTAGTGTTTTCAGCAAAAACATTATTCATTTAAGGCTCACTTACTAGCATACCCTTATCTCACTGTCATGTGGTATTTTATATGTGTAGATTTCAAAATCGAATTAAATTTATATTTTGTATATAAAGTAGTGCATGTTCATTGTCAAAGGAGTTAGGAAAAAATAGGGAAATATATAGCACAAATTGAAAATCACTCCCTCCAGAGAAAGCTACTAACATTTTGTAGTATAGCTTGTCAACCCTTTCTTCCCCTTCCATACAGTTTTTGCACACACATTTTGGAATGAGGTGAAGTAAATTAAGAATAAGTTGGGACAGACCATATTTAGATGTCCATATGTAACTCCTTTATTTACAAGTTTATTTTTCATGTACATAAAATTATCTAATCTACTCTTTCCCCACCCCTCCCCGCCTAGAATGACACAGCAAAGGGAAGCAGAAGGAGAATGACCTTTGTTCTGTGTCAAGCAACAAGAGCTAAGCCTAGCCATGTTCTCTTGGACTGTTTGATATTCTCAATCATCCGCATGCGAACGCATATGCACTATCTTCTCCAAAAGACAAATTTAATAGCTTCTAGCACCTGCCTCTTCCATGGCTTATTAGCAATGAAGTACCTGTCTCAGAGGATATTTCAGCAATAAAGCGGCATGCTTTTAGGGAAAGTGTGCATTATTTTAAGATCTAATATGATCAAGAAAGTGAGAATCACTATCAGATGACTTGAATAACCACTCTGGTAATGACAACCACGTTAAGTAGGTCTGAGCAGAATACTGAAATTTATTCTGGAAAGGGGAAACTCTCCTTGGGAATCTGAATTTTATTGAAATGTAGAAAAAAGAGAAAATTGCAACAGTTGTGAGGTTGTTAATTAGCTCACTGATTTTTGCTGGCAGTAATAGGACAAAGCCCATATGACAGGAGAAGACATGTGAAAGGACTGCAGAACACATAAAAAGTCCTTCTTATCAAGAAGTAAAGTTAAAGGGTAACTAATAAGGAAGAGATGCCAGGATCTGTGTTTAATGATAAAGTCAGCCTATCAGTGAGAAAATTCCTCCAACTGTTCCTTGAGGTAGGATGCTGGCCTGTCTATGCTGTGGTTAAGGGCTCAGTGCCAGCAATAAGTGCTTATCATTAATTAATCCATCATTTTGAAAACTATTTCTGTGGTGGTAAGAAGACCTCATTTCATTTTTAAGATATAATATTAAAGTTCAATTTTAATCCACACTTTGAGCCAGTCTAAAAGTTCTATAAATGATATTTAAAATTAATTATGATTATTCATAAGTGGTAACTAAAAGCTGTAAAAAAAAAAAAAAAATGCCTTAAATGTGCTTCCCCTAGGGGCACCTGGGTGGCTCAGTTGGTTAAGCAACTGCTTTCAGCTCAGGTCATGATCCTGGAGTCCCGGGATGGAGCCCCGCATTGGGCTCCCTGCTCAGCAGGGAGTCTGCTTCCCCCTCTGACCCTCCCCCCTCTGACCCTCCCCCCTCTCGTGTTCTCTCTCTCATTCTCTCTCTCTCTCAAATAAATAAATAAAATCTTTTTAAAAAAATGCGCTTCCCCCACATCTGTGATAAGGTCATACCCATACCCTGAATATTTTAACATTTTTATCCCTAAATAGTACATAACTATTGGATCTTTTCAAAGACCAGCATTATTGCTACTTTAAGTGGCTGGCTTCTACAAAGTTGATGCTATCTGCAGTAATTTTTTCCAAAATAGTGAGGAAAAACCCTAACTTTGTTTCGCCCTTTAGAGTTCAAACATCTTATCAATGCAATTCTTTGACTAATGAAGTCAATTCTTCTTGAACACTTTTGAAATGGCCAGGATGATTCCACAGAAAAAAAAAATTATCCAAAAAAGACCCAGTGTTAAATAAAACTAGATGGTATTATGAAATTCTGAAAAGCACAGTTTCCATGGCTTAATAGTTCTAGAATTACACATTCCAGATTAGCAGCTTCTATTTTTTTTTTTTAAAGACACCAACCTCCATTCTTTTAATTCCTCCAACCCCTCGACCACCATAATAGGAAGCATCCACAGTTGGCCATTTCTTCGTAGGCAGAGGTTCTTCTTCTTCCTATGTAGAATATTACAAGTTTTTGAAAGTGGGTTTAATTAATTTCTTAAAATACTGGTTAGTCAGAACTAACACACATTTAAACATTTTTCTGAATAATGCCACTGATATGGAAGAAATGGAGTAACAATTATATACGGGGCATTTGGAGGTACTTATGCTTACATGCATAAATTTCAAGTGGAGTTCTACAGAATATAAGGACTCCTGCCCTCCCAATTTTAGGAATCTCCTTTATTTCACCACATTACCAGAAGTTGCTCCTTAACTATGAGCAGCATCATTTGTTTTTTTTTTTCAATTCCAATTGTTACTTCAAATTTAAAAAGATAAGACATTAAATGTAGGAAAGCATTTCAAAAATCATTTAAAGCATCAACATACATATTAAGTTAAACTGCAAAATTGGTACTAAAAAGATAGGCAGTTAAGAAGTTTTGAAAATGCACTACTTCCATATTTCATGTTGCTAACATAAGTTTGGCTAAAGTATAATCATTTTGAAGAAAGGATGAACACCTTTAAACTTCCAGCTTGGATCTTCTACCTTTTATAAATAAAATAAGTAACATCAGGACTATTGATCTATTGATAGACAAAGTAAAGTAAATCTTTGTGCACTATTAAGCCTCATGGCCAGTCTATATTTATCAGTTTTTGAGGGTCCTATTCCTCTAGCACATGAAAGAAATCATAAGAAGATGAAAAATAACAATGAATTTTCATAAATTCAAAAGTCAATACATAGGTATCACAGTTATCCAACAGCAAGGTAATTGATCAAATTTGGGGATAATATCTAAATACAGAAAAAAATATCCACATCACTCATTAGGCACTTATTTACCTCTTTTGGTGCAGGAGGTGGTGGTGGAGGAGGATCCTTGATAACCTGTCCAAAAAAAAAAAACAAAAAAAAAACCCGAAGGTAAAAATTTTGGTGGCATAACAAGGAGACAGCAAAGATGTGTAAAAATAACTCAATTAGTAACATATGGTAGTAGTGCCAAAGATGTCCCCAGTGAACCTTTCCTCTCAATGGATATGCCTCTCCCTTTGAATACAGGCTCTCCTGTAACAGGCTTTTGACTAACTAGCATGAAGTAGAAGTGGTACCATGTGACTTCTGCAGATGGTCAAAAGAAGCTTTTCCACTTCCCTCAGCATCCCTGGGACACTCACTCTGGAGGAAGCCTGCTGTCATGCCAGAAGTCTACCTTGAGACCATTGGGCCAGGAGGAGGAAGAACCCCAGGATAACCTTACAAAAAGGCTGGGTGATGAGAGGTGCCTGGCCAGCCCCCAACTATATCAGCCATCCCAGCCAAAGCGCCAAACATGGCTCTCTTGGACCTGGAGGCCTGTCGAGCTTTCAGATGACTCCAGCCCAGCTGCCCCTGATTGCAATCACATGAGAGAACCCCAGAATGAGAATCTCCTAGCTGAGCCAGTCTCCACAGAACCGTGAAGACACTAAATTGTTTGAGGACACTAGGTTGTGGAGTGGTCTGTTAGACAGTGCTAGATAACAACCACATCACAATTCACAAAACTCCTTCATTCGTTCATTTTATCTTTATGCCATAGATATGCAAACATTTTCCACAAGACTATGGTATGTCCCTTCAAACAGAGCAGGAATTTACTACTGAAATCTTCCTTCTAAGACTCATTGACTTTTTCATAAATTTACAATGCACAAGTTAACTTGCTTTGCAAGAGATGATGGGGAAATTAACTTACCTCTTTCCCCACCCATTAATCTAGAAGCAAATCAACTTTTTAACCAAGATGCCTTTTCTATGAATCATTACTCAATATATTCTTTCATGAAATAGTATATGGCTGATTCTTCATGTGAGAGGAATGAAGCCTGAGATCTAATCTAAATGACCTCTACCAGCACTGAGGTAGATGAGGTAGATAACCTTTCACACCATCATGATATAAAATTATTGATCAGGGGCACCTGAGTGGCTCAGTCGGTTAAACATCTGACTTGACTTCAGCTCAGGTCATGATGTTAGGATTGTGAAATCGAGCCCTGCGTTGGGCTCTGTGCTGGGCGTGGAGCCTGCTTAAAATTCTCTCTCCCTCTTCTCCCTCTGTCCTCCCCCCCAGATTAAAAAAAAAAAAAAAGGTAAAAAAATCATTGACCAAGTGCCAATAGCTTCTGATAATTCAAGTACACATCCAAGTCTCTAGACTAAGAGGAAAAATTTTTTGAAAATATAACTGCTTCACTTTATAACTGCATCCCCTTTCTCCACATCCTCACCAACATCTGTTGTTTCCTGTGTTAATTTTAGCCATTCTGACTAATGTGAGGTGGTATCTCATTGTGCTTATGATTTGTATTTTCCTGATGATGAGTGATGTTGAGCATCTTTTCATGTGTCTATTAGCCCTTCGGATGTCTTCTTTGGAAAAGTGTCTATTCATATCTTCTGCCCATTTCTTAACTGGATTATTTGTTTTTTGGGTGTTGGTTTGATAAGTTCTTTATAGGTTTTGGATATCAGCCCTTTATCCAATATGTCATTTGCAAATATATTCTCCCATTCCAGAGGCTGCCTTTTAGTTTTGCTGATTGTTTCCTTTCTTGCGCAGAACCTTTTTATCTTGATGAAATCCTATTAGTTAATTTTTGCTTTTGTCTCCCTTGCTTTTAGAGACATATCTAGTAAGAAGTTGCTATGGCTGAAGTCAAAGAGGTTACTGCCTGTTTTCTCCTCTAGGATTCTAATGGTTACCTGTCTTACATTTAGATCTTTCATCCATTTTGAATTGATTTTTGTGTAGGGTGTAAGACAGAGGTCCACTTTCATTCTTCCACATGTTGCTGTCCAATTTTCCCAACACCACTTATTGAAGAGACTTTTTTTCCATTGGATATTCTTTCCTGCTTTGTCGAAGATTAGTTGGCCATACAATTGTGGATCCATTTCTGGGTTTTTTATCCTGTTCTATTGATCTATGCGTCTGTTTTTGTGCCAGCACCATACTATCTTAATGATTACAGCTTCAAGTCAGGAATTGTGATGCCTCTGCTTTCCTTTTCTTTTTCAATATTACTTTAGCTATTCAGGGTCTTTTCTGGTTCCATACAAATTTTAGAATTGTTTGTTCTAGCTCTGTGAAAAAAGCTGGTGTTATTTTTATAGGGATTGCATTGAATATGTAGACTGCTTTGGGTAGTTTAGACATTTTAACAATGTTTATTCTTCCAATCCAAGAGCATGGAATGTTTTTCCATTTCTTTATGTCTTCAATTTCTTTCATAAATGTTCTATAGTTTTCAGCATACAGATCTTTTACCTCTTTGCTTAGGTTTATTCCTAGGTATCTTATGATTTTTGGTGCAATTGCAAATGGGATCAATTCTTTGATTTCTCTGTCTGCTGCTTCATTATTGGTGTATAGAAATGCAACAGATTTCTGTACATTGATTTTATATCTTGTAACTTTGCTGAATTCATGTATTACTGCTAGCAATTTTTTGATGGGACCTTTCAGGTTTTCTACATAGAATATCATGTCATCTGCAAATAGTGAAAGTTTGACTTCTTCCTTGCCAATTTGGATGCCTTTTATTTCTTTCTGTTGTCTGATTGCTGAGGCTAGGACTTCTAGTATTATGTTGAATAACAGTGGTAAGAGCAGACATCCCTGTCATGTTCCTGACCTTAGTGGAAAAACTCTGTTTTTCCCCATTGAGGATAATATTAGCTATATATGGCATTTGTATATGGCCTTTATGATGTTGAGGTATGTTCCTTCTATCCCCACATTCTTGAGGGTTTTTATCAAGAAAGAATGCTGTATTTTGTCAAATGCTTTTTCTGCATCTATTGAGAGGATCATATGGTTTTTATCCTTTCTTTTATTAATGTGGTGTATCACACTGATTGATTTGCGGATGTTGAACCACCCCTGCAGCCCAAGAATAAATCCCACTTGATTATGGTGAATAATCATTTTAATGTACTGTTGGATTTGATTAGCTAATATCTTGAGAACTTTTGCATCATGTTCATCAGGGATACTGGTCTATAATTCTTTTTGGCAGGGTCTTTGGTTTTGGAATCAAGGTATTGCTGGCCTCATAGAATGAGTTTGGAAGTTTTCCTTCCATTTCTATTTTTTGGAACAGCTTCAGAAGAAAAGGTATTAATTTTTCTTTAAATGTTGGGTAGAATTACCTGGGAAGTCCTCTGGCCCTGGGCTCTTGTTTGTTGGCAGATTTTTGATTACTGCTTCAACTTCTTTGCTGGTTATGGGTCTGGTCAAATTTTCTATTTCTTCCTGTTTCAGGAAGTTTATATGTTTCTAGGAATTTATCCATTTCTTCCAGATTGCCCAATTTTTTGGCATATAATTGCTCATAATATTCTCTTATAATTTGTTTCTCTGCGGTATTGGTTGTGATCTCTCCTCTTTCATTCGTGATTTTATTTGGGTCCTTTCTCTTTTCTTTTTGGTAAGTCTGGCTAGGGGTTTATCAACTTTGTCAATTCTTTCAAAGAACCAGCTCCTAGTTTCACTGACCTGTTCTACTGTTTTGTTTTGGTTTTTTTCTACATCATTTATTTCTGCTCTAATCTTAATTTTTTCCCTTCTTCTTCTGGTTTTAGGCTTTATTTGCTGTTCTTTTTCCAGCTCTTTTAGGTGTAAGGTTGGGTTGTACATTTGAGACTTTTCTTGCTTCTTGAGGTAGGCCTATACTGCTATATACTTTGCTCTTGTGACTGTCTTTGCTGCATCCCAAAGGTTTTAGACTGTCATGTTTTCACTTTCATTTGCTTCCCTTTTTTTAATTTCTTGTTTTAATTAATTTAATTAATAATTAAATAGTAAATATTAATTAATATTAAATATATAATAATTAAATTAATTAATATAACTAATTTAATTTCCTGGTTGACCCATTCATTCTTTGGTAAGATGTTCTTTAACCTCCATGTATTTGTGGTCTTTCCAAATTTTTTCTTGTGGTTGACTTCAAGTTTCATAGCATTGTCATCTGAAAATATTCATGGTATGATCTCAATATTTTTGTACTGGTTGAGACCTGATTTGTGACCCAGGACGTGATCTATTCTGGAGAATATTCCACGTGCACTCAGAAAGAATGTGTATTCTGCTGCTTTAGGATGAAATGCTCTGAATATGTCTGTTAAGTCCATCTCGTCTAGTGTGTCATTCAAAGCCATTGTTTCCTTGATCTTCTGCTTAGATGATCTGTCCATTGCTATAAGTGGGGTGTTAAAGTCCCCTACTATTATTGTATTATTATCAATGAGTTTATTTGAGTTTGTTATTAATTTATTTACATATCTGGCTGCTCCCAAGTTGGGGACATAAATATTTACAATTGTTAGATCTTCTTGTTGGATAGACACCTTTATTATGATATAGTGCCCTTCTTCCTCTCTTATTACAGTCTTTGGTTTAAAATCTAGTTTGTCTGATGTAAGTATGGCTACTCCAGCTTTCTCCTGGTATCCATTAGCATACCAGAAGGTTCTCCACCCCATCACATTCAATCTGGAGGTGTCTTTGGGTCTAAAATGAGTCTCTTGTAAGCAGCTTATCAATGGGTCTTGTTTGTTTTTTTTTTTAATCCATTCTGATACCCTATGTTTTTTGATCAGAGGATTGAGTCCATTTACATTGAGTCATTATTAACACGTATGAATTTAATGCCATTGTATTACCTGTAAAGTCACCGTTCTGTAGATTACCTCTGTTCCTTTCTAGTCTTTGTTGCTCTTGATCTCTCCTTCCTGCTAAAAGGGTCCCCTTTAGTATTTCTTGCAATGGATATTGTTTTTAAAAGACTGCTTATCATTTAAAGATATATACTGAAAATTTTTCAGATTAAATGATATGA